CTTTTTTGCCACACCCTGTCCATTCACATAACGTCGTCTAGCTTCTATATATAGTACAAAATACTTAGATTTAGGCAACAGAGATTGAAATGCCGCTAAAGTAAAACATCCAACCAATCATATCTTTTATAAGGCTATTTGAGCGTAAGTATGAACGATAGATATAAGTGCTATTTGCACTTGAAGCAAAAGGTAGATATTAGTCTGGTCTGCACGTATGTCAAAAGCTAGACATTTCGATTTACACTTTAAACAACAGGTAGACAAAAACGTTATGCAGGTATGGCGCACATTTGAATAGACAGACATGAGATTGATTTCAACTTGAGTACATAATCTGCTATTACTCGGCTTTAATCTCCAGTTTGCCAGCATTCACCCGGAAGTTGGTTAGGGTGGGTGTTCGTGTCTTACCACTTAGAAGCGGATGTTGTCAGCGTTTTCTTAGCCTCGACGTCAGGCTAATAATTTATCTGTTTTGTCTTTGAAAATTTAGCATTTATTTCTTGTGCCGGTAAATGGCGTGAATAGCCACCGAAAATTTAGCAGCAGGAACATTCTGACATGACGTGAAAAGATTCCAATGCATCCATTCCAAGACCGCTTCTAAGAAACTTGGTTTGCTGTTTTTATTTGAGACGCTTATACTCTCCTGAATCTGTCTTACATATCTAAAAGTCTACCATTCCTCCATGCTTTGAATATATCTGCCAGATATGGTCCGGTGCTCCTGCTGTATATTTAGAGGTTCTTAATAAAATCCAAAGAAGAATCAGCAATATTATTGGTCCCGACCTGGCATCTCGGCTTCAGTCACATTCCCACCGCCGTAATGTAGCTTCTCTGTGCCTTTTCTATAAATGCTTTACTGGTAAATGTTTGGATGAACTCTTCCCTATGTTGTTTTATTCCCTTCCCTCCACAGAACATTGTATTGTACATGTGGGGTTTAGTTAGGACTTTCATGGAGACTATGAGGTATTACGGTGAATGTAGTAAGAAAGGCCAGTAAGAATGCGTTGTTTTGGTGTTAGGAATATTGTTGTATGTTTGGGTCAGTGATTGTGGCTAGCTAAGTTTAAATTTAAGAGAGAAGAAGACCGTCCTTTTCTCCCATTCACCATTTTGGCCTTGTGCCACATTTTTGTAAATAAATTACAAATAAATATCGCTCTTCGCTATCTTATCTAGATTTTATGAATTCAATCACCGTATTAGATTGGCGGCAAAGTCTCGTCATTTGACAATTGAATTGGTTAGACGTAATTTCTAAGTTTTATACTACCAGTTTCCTTTCTCGCACTTCTGGCCTGTAGAACTCTCTTCCGGCTCTATTCTTTCCGATCAACTTTGATCTTCGAACATTTAAATGCAATGTCAATCGTTATCTCTTGTCTTCTTGATAACTCTTCTATTGTTGTCGCTCCTTAATAATTTTTTTTTTTTTTTTTTTTTTGTTATTTTTTCACAATCAGTAACCCCTTGTGTCTTAGTGGCCTTACTGTCTTGCATGGGGTGATATGATTAAAAAGGAATCCTTTCACTGTTAATGATGGTCATATTAAATAAAAACACACACAATAGGGTTTCTTGGAATCATCTTCATCGATATTCCAATATCTGATTTACGTCTGATGTATTATTCATCCTGTATTTATTCTGATTAAATTTACGAACAGACAATTATTATAGAATAATTAGTGAATAAAAGAGTAAATGAAAATTTAATGAGGCGTAAACAAAGCAGATAATATGATAAACAATGAATAATGACGTTATACAATATCTATATTGTAGCCAGGGTTTAAGGACGACATATCGACTGTTCAGCAGACCGACACTATAGATAAGAACAATAATACATCGTTGTGAAATGTGTCGTTGCCACTACTTTCACGAGTCAGTCAGATTAATATTCTTTATATAGTTTTTCACCTAAAACAAGGCCCAAGAGCGACTCAAGGTAGAGGGTTACGAAATGACGTTGTTGCAAGTGTGCCAAGAGCGGAAGAAGCTTGATTAGGTTATATGAATGGAAAGCCTGTAGCAAAAAAAAAAAAAAGATACGAACTACAAAGGATAGGAAGTTGTGGAGAGCAATTATCGCTTGTGCCCTGAAAGTACACGACACATATATGAAAACTGAGGCGTTTATGAGGATATAGAGAATAGTTAACGGTAGAGTTGAAGAGGTTATGATAGTTATTATTAATAGATCTGTGGGTAGCATCCTTGTGATAGAGAAAGCAAGTATGTTGGAGATATTTGGAAACGGTGATTCAGTTCAGAAATGGTCCATCGGATAGATATACAAATTAAATTCATAAGGAAAAACGTAAACGTTGAAAAAAATTAAAAGAATGACAGAACAGAGCCATGAACGAATAAGACTGACAAAGAAAGAAAGAAAGAAAGAAAGAAAGAAAGAAAGAAAGAAAGAAAGAAAGAAAGAAAGAAAGAAAGAAAGAAAGGCGGGAGGAAGGATGGAAACGAAAGAAAGAAAGAAAGAAAGAAAGAAAGAAAGAAAGAAAGAAAGAAAGAAAAAGAAAAGAAAAGAAAGAAAGAAAAGGCAAGAAAGAAAGGCGGGAGGATGGAAACGAAAGAAGGATGAAAGAAAGAAAAAACGAATGAAAGAAAGAAAGAAAGAAAAAGAAATAAAGAAAGAAAGAAAGAAAGAAAGGCGGAGGAAGGATGAAAAACGAATGATAGAAGAAAGAAATAAGACAAGAAAGAAAGAAAGAAAGAAAGAAAGAAAGAAAGAAAGAAATAAAGAAAGAAAGAAAGAAAGAAAGAAAGAAAGAAAGAAAGAAGGGTGGAAGGATGAAAACGAATGAAAGAAGAAAGAAATAAGGGTAGAAAGAAAGAAAGAAAGAAAGAAAGAAAGAAAGAAAGAAAGAAAGAAAGAAAGAAAGGCAATAAGAAAGGCGGGAGGAAGAAAGAAAGAAAGAAAGAAAGAAAGAAAGAAAGAAAGAAACAAAGAAACAAAGAAACAAAGAGAGTAAGGAAAAAGATAAAATAAAAAAAGCATGAATTCAAGAAGTGAAGATAGACAGTAAGAAAGATTGGAGGAAGACTGGACACAAATGAGAGAAGAAAATTGTAAGAAAGAAAGTAAAGAAAGAAAGAAAGAAAGAAAGGCGGGTGGAAGGATAAGAAAGAAAGAAAGAAAGAAAGAAAGAAAAGAAAGAAAGAAAAGAAAGAAAGAAAGGCGGTGGAAGGATAAGAAAGAAAGAAAGAAAGAAAGAAAGAAAGAAAGAAAAAGAAAGGCGGGTGGAAGGATAAGAAAGAAAGAAAGAAAGAAAGAAAGAAAGAAAGAAAGAAAGAAAGAAAGAAAGAAAGGTGGAAGGATAAGAAAGAAAGAAAGAAAGAAAGAAAGAAAGAAAGAAAGAAAGAAAGAAAGAAAGAAAGAAAGGCGGGTGGAAGGATAAGAAAGAAAGAAAGAAAGAAAGAAAGAAAGAAAGAAAGAAAGAAAGAAAGAAAGGCGGGTGGAAGGAAAAGAAAGAAAGAAAGAAAGAAAGAAAGAAAGAAAGAAAGAAAGAAAGAAAGAAAGAAAGGCGGAAGGAATGATGAAAACGAATGAAAGAAGAAAGAAATAAGGTAAGAAAGAAAGAAAGAAAGAAAGGAAGAAAGAAAGAAAGGCGGGTGGAAGGATGAAAACGAAAGAAAGAAAGAAAGAAAGAAAGAAAGAAAGAAAGAAAGAAAGAAAGAAAGAAAGAAAGATAGGCAATAAGAAAGGCGGGAGGAAGGATGAAAACGAATGAAAGAAGAAAGAAATAAGGGTAGAAAGAAAGAAAGAAAGAAAGAAAGAAAGAAAGAAAGAAAGAAAGAAAGAATTCAAAGAAGTAAAGAGAGGCAATAAGAAAGGCGGGAAGAAGGATGAAAACGAAAGAAAGAAAGCAAGAAAGAAAGAAAGAAAGAAAGAAAGAAAGAAAGAAAGAAAGAAAGGAAGAAAGGAAGAAAGAAAGAAAGGCGGGTGGAAGGATGAAAAAGAAAGAAAGAAAGAAAGAAAGAAAGGAATTAATGAATATATAAATTAATTAAATCAATAAAGAAAAACGGAAAATACAAAGATAATAAAACAGAATAAAGTAAAAGTAAGGAAAGCGTTAAAAGAAATAAGAACAGACAGGAAAGAAGAATATAGGGGAGATGAACACGAATAAAACAAGGAAGGTTACAAAGAACGAGAAAAAGAAAAAAGTAAATTATGAATGCTGGAGAAAAGAGCGTCAAAAATAAGATATTGTTGGGAAAACAGAAAGAAAAAAAAACGAAAAAAACTCAGAAACATGGCGATTTTATCAAAGAATTCCTCTTTCTTTTCATAGTGTTCTGAAAAATTATTTCCACATCAAAAATCTTTATTTGCCGTGTTTGATACGAGATTGAAACCGGATATCGGGGGTTTAGGCAGATCGACGCCATATCTGGCCACATACACACACATAGATAACCCGACACAATCACTCTATTCCGTTCATAGAAAACGGAAAAAAAAAGTTACTTCCTTCAATGCACAGCGCATCCGTTGCTTTATCCAATAAAAATACAATCGTAAAATATAAAATATACGCGGAAGAATCTCACAAGTGAAAATCTATATCAGAAACAACATGCACCTTCTCTCAATAAAATAGGGCTTCTGAAAAAAAATGGCTACTTTTTCTAGTCGGTGATAATGTTTTCGTTTAGTTTACAAAATGAATTTCAGAACTTGTTACAGAAAAAGGAAATGTTTCAGTTATACAGTTAAAAAAATCAGAAAAAGTAAAATGTATCAAAATTTGGTGTCATTTAATAACCCAGATTTTAAGGCAGAGTGTTCCTTAATTTTGGCTTTACATTGTGTAAAGAACAAATAAGAAAGGTTTATCAATCTAGCATGTTTCACTTTTATTAAAGCTTTGTCAGAGACTAAGACTTTTTTTTTATGTTGGTACAACGACAGATGAATACGTTCGACTGTTGGTGAGGGTTTTAGATCTTTTTAGATTTTTTTTTTAATAAGGGTACGGAGAAAGAAAGAAAGAAAGAAAGAAAGAAAGAAAGAAAGAAAGAAAGAAAGAAAGAAAGAAAGAAAAGAAAACATTTAATGAAGTAAAGATAGGCAGTAAGTAAGATGGGGAAGGAATGAATAAGAGTAGAAAAGAAAGAAAGAAAGAAAGAAAGAAAGAAAGAAAGAAAGAAAGAAAGAAAGAAAATAAGGAAAAAGAAAAAAGAAATGAAAAGAAAGCATTCAATGGAATAAAGATAGGCAATAAGTAAGATGGGAGGAAGGAATGAATAAGGGTAGAAAAGAAAGAAAGAAAGAAAGAAAGAAAGAAAGAAAGAAAGAAAGAAAAAATATAAAATATGAGAAAGAAAAAAGAGAGAAAGGAAAGGATAGATTTAAGGAAGAAAGGATCTATAAGAAAGAAAGAAAGAAAGAAAGAAAGAAAGAAAGCATTCAAAGAAATAAAGATAGGCAGTAAGAAAGATGGAAGAATAGACACGAATTAAAGAAGAAAGTAATAAGCAATGAATACGGTAGAAAGAAAGAAAGAAAGAAAGAAAGAAAGAAAGAAAGAAAGAAAGAAAGAAAAATGAAAGAAAGAAAGAAGAAAGAAAGAAAGAAAGAAAGAAAGAAAGAAGAAAAAAAGAAAGAAAGAAAGCATTCCCAAAAATAAAGAGAGGCAGTAATGGGATGAAGAATAGATACGAATGAAAGAGGGAAGTAATTTTTATTTATCTAGTCGAATTTATTTGGAGACCTCTTTTTCTATCCATCAGTTTCTCACATTGTAATAATAGAAGATCTGCCAGTAATGGTGAAATAATCTAAGAGTCTGGGGGCAGATTTACAAGAGATGACCTTGAGATAAAAGCACAAAAAAATTCTAAAATCCCCAGCACCGTTTGTATAGTCAACATAACAAATTTAGTCTGATGAAGTCCTTAAGGAAGAAACTCGTCACAGGCAAACCTTTCCCCTTTTGTATATATATATATATATATATATATATATATATATATATATATATTCATCATTCCACATATCCACATAGGGGCTTACAGCACGACTCACAGTTTCATGGTTTATGCATTCATCAGGTACAAAAAAGGTTATGAACCATGATAACTCTGAGTCGTAGGTATATGTAATTATTAATATATATATATATATATATATATATATATATATATCCGTTGCAATGAGAATGAAAATATTTTTTCTCAAACAAATGATAAAAAAGGAAGTGACATTTCACATACGGCTTGCCTACAAGCAGAATTGTTCATAACCATTTTTGTTCTCACCGGTCGAGTGCAATTGAAATGCACTGAAACGAAGTTGCATGTTTGTAGTGAGTAAATTCTTTTTGTCTATATGAAAAAATTATTATATATATGTATGTATATATTGCTGGCCATTCGTATTCGAGGATACCCGCCTATATATATATATATATATATATATATATATATATATATATATATATATATATGAGGAAAGGACGAAACGCAACATAAATAAACATTTCCACTTTGTCATTCATTTTCCCCAATACTGATAGGTATATGTGAGTGCTATTTCTGCCATATCCTTTATGAACAGAGTGCGATAGATAGATAGATAGATAGATAGATAGATAGATAGATAGATAGATAGATAGATAGATAGATAGATAGATATGAACAGACTGAGATAGATAGATAATGAACAGTGAGAAAAATAGATATGAAACGACTGAGATAGATAGATAGATAGATAGATAGATAGATAGATAGATAGATAGATAGATAGATAGATATGAACAGACTGAGATAGATAGATAATGAACAGTGAGAAAGATAGATATGAACCGACTGAGATAGATAGATAGATAGATAGATAGATAGATAGATAGATAGATAGATAGATAGATAGATAGAAATACCTCCCACATATACTTCCCAGAAATATCTCCCTCATAAGGTTAAGACATTAGATAGATGAAGACACTATTGCTACTAACACCCTACCATTATGTGGTCGGCTACAATTCTGATAGGCATATGTGCGAGGTATTTCTGCTAAACTTTGTATGAACAGACTGAGATAGATAGATAGATAGATAGATAGATAGATAGATAGATAGATAGATAGATAGATAGATACACTGGGAGGGAGAGAGATAGATCATGAGGAGACTGAGATAGATAGATAGATAGATAGATAGATAGATAGATAGATGGTTCTTCAGAAATACCTCCCTCATATCTCCCAGAAATACCTCCCGCATAAGGGTAAACATTAGCTCGATGACGTTCCCTAGCACCTCACAGTTGACAAATTAAAATGTGGGAGGTATTTCTGCCGCATTCTGAAGAATGCCAATTTAGCGTCACTGCGATATTCACTAGTGCTAAATTACTTTAATGACTACAGACTAACGGCCACTTTTCACTTATCGGTAACAAACCACAGTCAGACACTTATCCCGTGCACTAAATTAATTTCTTTTTCGAGTGACCCACAGT